ACACAATGAGCAGAGTCGAACTCCAAACACTTGTTTGATCGCAACTGCAAATATGGGGTAACCGATATGACATTTGCATGCTTCTGTCTTCAAGATTGTTATGTGAAGACAAGCAGCATAAAGCATAAATCTACAAATGTGAGAATGTCACCAATCAAACGATGTTATTCTGCCGGATGACAGATCTGAAGTTATGACAGAAAGAATGAAAGAGAAAGAACAAAACAACGAACAAAAAGAAAAACATGCACAAAAATAAAAAATTTTACATTTCGGAAAAGACACAGTTCTTGTTACAAAGCAGTTGCTTTGCAAGGTTTTTTTTAAAAGAGTAGTTCGCCCAAAAATGAAAGTTTTATAAAAATTTACCCTCAGACAATCCAAAATGTAGATGAGTTTGTTTCTTCATCTGATCAGATTTGGAGAAATGTAGCATTGCATCACTTGCTCACCAATGGATCCTCTGCAGTGAATGGGTGCCGTCAGAATGAGAGTCCAAACAGCTGATAAAAACATCACAATAATCCACAAGTAATCCACACCACTCCAGTCCATCAGTTAATGTCTTGTGAAATGAAAAGCTGTGTCTTTTTAAGAAACAAATCCATCATTAAGACATTTTAAACTTCAAAATGTAGCGTTGGGCCAAAATAAAAGTTCATAATCCATAATCCAGTGGAAAAAGTCCATCTCCTGTCGTCTTTCACATCAAAATCCACCCACATATTTGTTTAGAGCTGTTTTGGCTTGTAACCAGTGCTTAATCTGTGCAGATTTCTCTCCCGATTCAGAAAAGACAGCTCTTCACTGGAGAAAGCAATATTATGGATAGACGACTTGTATTTTAACCAGAAGCAATGGTTAGTTAAAAATGTCTTGATGGATTTGTTTCTTACAAAAAAGACACTGTCCCTTTAAGTGCCTGTTGCTGTTGAGATGGCCTGTGGGTGACTGAGGCGTCTCGTTTTTTGGTGCGCCGTACAAATATTCGTTGTATATTAAATATAAACGGCATTGCTGAGCAAATAAATAAATGACAAGACAGATTGCAGATCAAAAAAGCTGAAAAATACTATGATTTTTAACATGGTGAATATGCATGCATATCTGAGAAGTTTCATGTGGGAAATAGTAATTTTAATGAACAACACATTTTATTGTTCATGCAACAACACAGCACCTTCGTCTCTCTCAGCCAGCCATCTTCGTGCAGAGCTCTCAAAGCAAACTTCACTGCTGTTCTGCTCAAGGCCTGAATGAATGGAACAAACTACACACACAAAGCCTATTAAAGTTGCTTTGGAAACTCTTATGGGACGGCAGTGCGTAAGCAGCGCACCTCTTTCAAAGAACAGCTCAAACAAAAAAAAGACACTGTCCCTTTAAGTGCCTGTTGCTGTTGAGATGGCCTGTTTAAAGTTGCTTTGGAAACTCTTATGGGACGGCAGTGCGTAAGCAGCGCACCTCTTTCAGAGAACACTTCCTCAAATACCACAAGACTTACTCATGCAGAGAGACAGAGGTGCACGGAGGATCCGAAAAAAAAGAGGACATGAAAATGAACCCATTACTGTCAAAACCATAAACTGACAGATGTGACTAGTTTGTGTTTTAAGCATGATGAATGCAGAACTATGCTGAGAATATATGAGTGAACGTTAACTACAGTTAGTGCGTTTTGATTTAGAAAGTTAAATTTGAACTACAAACCCAACACTCTGTTTAATCATCTCAGAGTCACTGTCTCCATTCCAGTTTTTTGATTGCAGCATCAATGAAATGACCTTGAAAACCACAGAGTTTCCAACTTCACAGAGTTAGAGTTATGACTGATTTTAGGGGTTATCCTGATGAAATCTTTGATCCAGACATTCCAGACAGACCCAAACCCCCTTCTCACCTGACTCTCAGGCCCCGTTTCAACATGCGTATATTTCAGATGATTCACTCATTAGCAGGTCGAAACAATTCACTGTTTATACATTATTAACAAGTATCTTAAATGTGTCTCCTCTGAGCGCTTGAGGGGAGAGACTGTGATTTTGGGACTACATGCATCACTCATACCAAAATTTAGTGTGGAAACAATTTTTACACAGAAATTGCTAGCAAATTTCACAAGTAATTACAAAAAAATGGCAAGTAACACATTGAATATATAAAACATACTCCAATAATATTGGTTTTATTTACAATTAAAAAAAAATGTACAGTGTATATTAATCACTGTATAATTCAATTTACATATAAACAGCAATATATGTAAATTGAATTTACATTCAAAAAAATTATTCTGTTTTCACTTACAGAAGTAGTTTAGTAATTTTGTTGTTTTTAATTTAAGTTTTTATTTTATTTTTAAAATGTCTATATAGTTTTTGTTAATTTTATTAGGATATTTATTCTTAGTTATTTTAGTACTTCAAGTAAAAACTAAACAAAATGAAAAATATTGACTTGGAGACTAGGTTAAATAAAATAAGTTTTTTTTTATTTCAGTTAGTTAACATTTATTTCATTTCAAGTATGTTTTAATGGTTTTAGTTTTAGACTATATATATATGCATAAAACTATATGTGTGTGTGTGTGTGTGTGTTACAACTACAATAACCCTTGTCCATGCCTTTTACTGGAAGGAAAAAAACATTTAAACACACAGAATCTGTCCAATCTGAACATCAATGTGTATTAAAGAACAAGGTACAATGATCAGACTATGTATCCAAGAAAGCAATTATACATAATCAATGGTATATTTTATCTGAAAACAGTCAGAAAATTATGCCACTTTCAACAGTTAGACTATCAAGGAAGCAGCACACATAAATGTGTTTCAACATGTTCCTCTTTTACCTGCCGTAGTCAGAAAAGGCTTCACCTCAGTCTAGTGCACTGGAGAATTTAAATTACACCAATACAGAGGCAAAACTATTTCAACATTACAGAGTAAAATTCAACCGCCCTCAGGGTAAAAATTCACACAACACAGACTAGACATTTCTACACACCGCCTCGCGCTCCTTTGAGCTCAGAGTTGAAGTACTGAGCAACACAAACAGGTAGAGAGCATTCAGAGAGCAACCTTTCACTCACAAACACAATGTGTTAACCACAATATTTCAAAAGAGCTGAGCAACTCCTCTCTCCTCCTGCAAGCAGAACACACATTATCCAACATGAATGCTGGAGATATTTTGAGTCTCCATCAAGGAGAGCAGATAAAACCAGAATTATAGACTATGAGTTTGCTGCCAATAGAAGATTCTACTGATCCAACATTTAATGCAACCCATAAAGTTCTTGTCCAGTTGAGATGGAATTAAGATTCTTTTATATCCTTGCATCATTTAAAAAACAGATCTTCTCAGGGACTTTCTAAGTGAACTTTTGATATATTAACTACTACTATGGATGTTCATGGAAACAGTTCAGTTAGAAAACACCAACATCATCAGCCTGTGGAAGTTTCTGCCAGGAATCTGTATTGTTAAAAGCGCTATATAAATAAAGGTGACTTGACTTGACTTGACATACGAGAAGGAAGAAACATAGTTCAGCTTTCATTTACTACTGATGCGTTTGATTAACATCTAGTTCTAAACATATTTGGACACATTATAGAAACACAGTAGTTTTTTGTATGTACAGTAAGTCAGGAGGAAGGAGAGGAATGAAGCAGAAATACATGAAACTTGCACAAACATGTATGCAAGCAGAGCCTGAAATCATGACACAAACTTGCTGCCCAATGATGCCAACCAATCAGAATGAAGTATTTCAGAGAGTTGAATGTGATATGTGCACAAAATACAAATGATTTTACACAATATTTATGCAAAATTCGCTAAAGTCTTTAAAAGACCCCCGATAAGAGCAAATAGGCGTATATAGTAGCCCAATAAAACGAATTTGTTTACATCAGGCTTCCCACGCCTTTCGACCAATAACTTTGCATGAGTTTTCCAGTCATTAGGGTTAGATTCGGATTTATTAGCACTTCAGTTCACTGTGTGTCCTATTTTAGGCCATGTATATTCACTACAGAAATTGTGTGAATGAAAAATCACGGTTTTTAAATATCCTAACATTTCCAGGTTATCCATGACAGTGGGAACTCTGAGACATAAACGAAACAATCGGGCGACTGAAAGCAGCAGCGGCTGGTAGAATGTAGCCCGTTCAGAATCTTCCGCGCGAAACACATTAAGAACGAAACTTTAGAACGCATCGGCGCGAAACGTTGTTACAACGTATCAGCGCGCGATTAACAATGAGCAACAATGTATCCATCAGCTCCATTCAAGCCGCCGCACAGGAAACACTGGAACTAGGCGCGTCTGTCAGGAAATTAAATAAATAAAATAGTAACAACAACAACAACAACAACAACAATAATATTATCATAATTGGGACTTTTTTTCTGAATTTTAATTTTATATCTCACAAACACTGGCTTTTTTCCCCCCTCGGAATTCTGACTTTATATAGCACGATTTTATCACCTGGATATTAAGAACAAGCTTCTACATCATCCAGTGCAATACTTCACGCCATGTCAACTCAGAGCTGTCAATCACAGCTGGAGGAATGAAGCAAAGCACAACGAATAGCATGAAAACAATCCAGTCTATCATTACATACACATTAAGAACGAAACTTTAGAACGCATCGGCGCGAAACGTTGTTACAAAGTATCAGCGCGCGATTAACAATGAGCAACAATGTATCCATCAGCTCCATTCAGGCCGCCGCGCAGGAAACACTGGAACTAGGCGCGTCTGTGTGTCAATCTCCACCAAAAAACATTACAAACACACTCACACACATATCTCAAATACACAATAGCGCACTGAATACACTGACCCACAATCATAAAAACACATCAGCACAAACCTCCTTACATAAGCCAAGCCAGCCGGGAAACAGAGAAACTCGATTCACAATTTCTCCCAAAACTTTTGTAATGGGACTAAAAGAAGTTTGGTGCTTCTCTACTTACCTACTCCATACTTCTCCGTCTTCGTGGGCACCCAGCGCGACATCCTCACTGATGAAGGTGTTGTGAGACACCCGTGAGTGTTGTTGTCGATATTCCAAATATATATCCAGAGTTTTTCCACACACTTTTTCTTTTCTCTGTAGTAGTGGAGAGACTCATCTAGCCGCCATTTTCCACCATCACTGAACTCATGAACCGCGAGGGGGAGATATGAGAAACTTGTTGTCATGTGGGACAGCAGCGTCACCAGACGACCGGTCAGTCCCTCACCAAAAATACCATGATAACTACAGTTTACCAATGTACCAAAATACCAGAGTAAAGTAAAAGCACAAAAATTATTATTGAATGTGACAAGGTAATCATTATATGAATGTGACATTAAAAATGTCTTTATAATTAATTTTGCTATTTTTTATAGTTAGTTAGTTAGTTAGGAAATATTAATCATTATATGGCCTGGTTTCACAGACAGGGTTTAGGTTAAGCCAGGATTAGGCCATAGTTAAATTAGGACATTTAAATGTCTTTTATAAACGTGCCTTAGAAAATAACATTACTCTTGTGCATCTCGAGACAAAACAAGGGCACTGACATATTTTAAGATCAATCAATGCAAGTTTCTTTCAGTTAAAACAGCCCAGACATGCATTTTAGTCTGAGACTAGGCTTAAACCGTGTCTGTGAAACTGGGGGTATATGTTTTAAATTATAATCTAAAGACGTGAAATAAACAATTACGTTATATTTTTTATGAAAATTGTTTCAATTTTTCTCAAAACACGACTGTCCCTTAATTGTGCCGTCATTCCTAATGTGACCAACAATTTTTAGTATGTGAGGTCAATATGACTTGTGAAAGGAATATTTTGTGCATCATTTGTAATCAAGCTCTAATATTGTCATATTGAACAAAAAATACACATATATACAGTTCAAAATCATTACTCCAGTCTTCAGTGTCACATGATCCTTCATAAATCATTCTAATATGCTGATTTGCTGATCAAGAAACAATTCTGATTGTTATTAATGTTGAAATCAGTTGTGCTGCTTCATATACATTATCATGAACCATGATACATTATCATTTGATACATATCACATGATGTGTATATGTATATTATATATGTGTGTGTGTGTGTGTGTGTATGCACGCATACATGCATGTATTTATATAAAATCTGAATCTGAACAGGGATCCTAAAGCCACTTTATGGTGGCTTATTGTGATAGAGGAGTCCAGAGTTTTTGCATTTTGAATAAACCATGATGAAACTCCCTGTAATGTCATTTTCATATGGTCAATATTTTTTTTTTTTTTTTTTACCGGGGTCTAAACGGACAGACTAATTTGTTTTCCACTGCTTCTGTTGCATTTTTCGAATAAAAAAGATTTTTAATCAAAATATGGAAAACAAAATTAACAGCACAGCATAATACAATATGAATCCTCTAATACTCATAACGAGACAATTTTCACTGTCATAAATAGCTGCAGACTGTGGCGACTGCTGAAAATTTGATTATGGGGACCAATTAGAAAAGATTGCTCTGGGATACTGTCTCATAGCCACCGACTTCACTTAATTCCTGCTCTTCCAGAGAAATTATCACTTCGTTTGAGGTTAATTGTTGTTTCTGTGAAAGTATGTTGCTTTGCACACAAACCATCCCCAGATGCTTGCAATTAAAGCTGCTCTGTGGGACAAAGACTGTGTTTTGAATCATTACACTATGCAAAACATTTCGAGAATGAGCCTTTTAGATGGCATCTCTGCATGCAAAGTTTCCACTTCTTTGTTCATTTGTTGTTGTGTTTTGTAGCCTGCAGTTAATGTTTTAAGAATTTGACTAAAACAACATTAGAAGAAGCTCCTGCATCCTTTGTGTTCATCTGAAGCTTCGGTGTAAATGTTAAAGAAATGTGCTTTCATTGTTAGCCCACAGATACATGCCTTTATGAGAAATGAATTATTTATTCTCCAAGTGTAAGCGCTTTCTGGCCCCGCAGCATTGTGAAGAGGCTGTTTAACATTAATCAGTGTATATATAAGAGGCCTGATGGTTTAGTGCGGACCCTGTCACATTAAACACCTCTCTCTCACTCTCTCAGCCTGAAGAATATAGCTCAAACACTTCATCATCATTACCCAGTGAAACGTTAGCAGAAAGAGAGATTTTTTTCGGCTTTTTTTTGGTGTTTGCTAACCCAACTTACCCAAGCACCATTATTACTATTGCTAAAACTAGCAGATTTATTTTTGTTACATGAAGGTAGCATTAAAAATATATTCTTAATTTATTTTTGTCACTTTTCAAAAAAAATTATGTTTTTATGTATTATTACTTACCTTGTCCCGCACTCTGACTTCCGATCAACAACAAAAAATGCATTAAATAAATAAATAAACTATGAAATCATATCTTGGTCCACTCTTCTTCCAGTCTCTTCCACAGTTCGGTGACTGTAGTGGGTTTCATAACTTTGTCGCCAAGGATTTTCCAGAGATTTTCAATCAGGTTTAGATCAGGACTCTGGGCCGGCCATTTCATTATTTCAATGTTTTCAGCTTCAAGGAACTGCTTTACCCGTTTTGCTGTGTGACAGGGGGCATATTGTCCTGCATGAAAATTGCTGGCTGATTGGGTGATGACCGCAGGGAAGGAGCTGCATGTTGTTGAAGGAGGTTCTGATAAACATTTGCATTCACCTGCCATGTATCTGTATAAGAGGCTCAACTCCTGCTGCAGAAAACATCCCCCAAACCATCACACTTCCTCCTCTACCTTTCACTGACTTCTTTACACACTTTGGGTTCAGTCTTTCAATAGTTTGATGATGGACATAATGTTTCCCATCGGACCCAAATAAATTAAACTTGCTTTCATCAACGAAGTGAACTTTGGACCAGTTCTCCTCTGTCCAAACAACATGAACATCCTCAGCAAAAGTGAGTTTAGTCTTTTGATTATTTCTGCTGATGAGAGGTTTGGTCACTGCAGAGTGCACTTTCAGTCTGACTTCTCTTAAACATCGAGACACTGTATGCCGAGACAGATACTTACTCTGTTCAGCGCTGAATTGGCGAGCAATTCCAGCTGCAGTGTTGAACCGATTTCAACAGGATTTAAATAGGATTTGTCAGATGATTAAGGAAATTAGCATGAGGTGCCAGATTAACACCAATAACTTGGAGGTATCTGTAAGTGTTCTCTAATTTTAAATGTAAATATGTACATATATGTATACATACTTAAAAAAAAAAGCTTTTTTCCTAAATTTGAGAGCTGTAAAAGTGATGTTATGATACTTTTTGTTGCTTTTTGAACTTCAAAGAGCATCATGAACATCTCAGCTTAACATCTCCTAGAGAGGAAATAGCATTAAATAGCTTTGGAACGAAATGAGGGGAGTAAATGCTGACAGAAATTTTGTTTCAGGGTGAATTATTCTTTTAATTGTTCTCCTGTGCCTTTCTTATTTGTTTGCTTTAAGCCTCTAAGACATTTGACAGCTTTAATTAGGAAATCCCTCTGTAAATACAGAGAGTAAGCCATGCTGAGGCATGAGTCACGGCCCAAAGCACAGAGAACAAAACAGCAAATTACCCACTTAAAATTAGAAACAAATACCAAATTGATCACAGGAAAATAATGGCTGGGAATAAACATGAAATAGATGTAGCAGGATAGGCCTGCTTTGATTGTGCGACTCATACAAGCTTTTATTTATCTTTTCCTTATCTCTCTCCTCTAATGATAAAGAGATTTCTTATTACCAGCAGAGGATTGGACCCGACACACACCAATCTGCCTTTACATGTTTATTTATACTTCATATCAGTCTTCCCCCTAACGAGAACACGCAGTACACTTTCCCTCAGATACATCATCCACCTGCAGGGGGCGCTGCTAGTTCTGCTCATTGAGTTCAGAATGGAATACTATCATACTACTTACTATTTCTGCAGTATGCATACTCTGTATAGTATGCATTAATTGCTTATACATGGAATATTGACTTTTTTAATCCTTTATTTACTAAAAATGCTAACTAAATCTTTATTTCCAATGTGCCCTGTAATGAGATTTATAGAAACATTTTATAAAACATTAACCACTGTGCACAGTGTGCATACTGCAAAAATAGTAAGAGCAGTTTGGTAGTACAGTATACTACACCGAACATAGTATGTATATACAGTGTATAGTATGAATATATTCTTTATGCAAGCAATATTGATCTTAAGACTTTTTTTGATTAAAAATATATTTTTTTTATTTCCAAGGTGCCATATGATGAGAAGATTTATAGAAACATTTTAGCAGAAATTACACACTGTGCACACACAGTATGCATACTGCAAAAAAAAAAAAAAAAACTATATGTATATAGTATGCATATATTTTTTATGTGTGCAATATAGATATTTTTAAGACTGTTTTACTAAAAATACTAACGAAATATATATTTTTTTTTCAAGGTGCCAAGTGATGAAAATATTTAGAAAAAACTATAATATTTCAGAAAAAAATTACACACTTTGCACAGTGTGCATACTGCTAAACTAATAAGAGTAGTAAGGTAGTATACTATTTCAAACATAGTATGCCTATATTGTTTATTCCATGCATCTTTTTAAGACTCATTTTTAATTCCAAGATGCCATGCGATAAAATTTATAGTGATATTTTAGTAAAAACTACACATTGTGCACAGTATACATACTGCAAAAATAGTAAGAGTAGTATGTTCTGCAAATAGTATGCATATATCCTATATGCATGATCTTTTTAAGGCATTTTTACTGAAAATGCAAACTAAAATTCTTTATTTCCAAGGTGCCATGTGATGAGAAGATTTATATAAACATTTGAGAAAAAAAGTACACAGTGTGCACACTATGCATACTACAGAAATGTAAGAGCAGTATGGTAGTACTGTATACTATTCTGAACATAATTTTCTTTGTGAGTCCATAGGGCCGACAGGAAACACAAGAGCCAGCGTAATTACAATAATGATGTGGGTTAGATGCAGTAACCTTAGGGAAAAGCTGCATTTCTGTGTCTCATATGAAACAAAAAAGTCTATATTCAGACTGAGAAGAAAACGGTGACTATTTAAGAAATCTTAATGTCTTTACTGTGGAAGTTTGTCCCAATTC